GGCTAATTTGTGTATTTTTAATAGAGACAGGGTTTCACCATGTTGGCCAAGCTGGTCTCAAACTCCTGATCTCAGGTGATCCACCTGCCTCAGCCTCCCAAAATGCTGGGATTACAGATGTGAGCCACCATCCCTGGCCAAGACTCTAAGTCTTTAAATCATATGGAGAATTATCAAGGGAACCCGCCCCCAATGGTTAATGTGGGTTCTTTTCTATTTCCTATGCGTCTCGGCTGGTTTGAGAAATAAAGGGAAAGAGCACAAGAGAGAGAAATTTAAAGCTGGGTGTCCAGGGGAGACATCACATGTTGGCAGGTTCCGTGATGTTCCCCGAGCTGTAAAACCAGTAAGTTTTTATTAGCGATTTTCAAAAGGAGAGGGAGTGCACGAATAGGCGGTGGGTCACAGAGATCACATACTTCACAAGGTAATAAAATATCACAAAGCAAATGGATGCAGGGTGAGATCACAGGACCACAGGATGGGATGAAATTAAAATTGCTAATGAAGTTTCGGGCACACATTGTCATTGATAACATCTTATCAGGAAACAGGGTTTGAGAGCAGACAACCTGTCTGACCAAAATTTATTAGGTGGGAATTTCCTCATCCTAATAAGCCTGGGAGCGCTACAGGAGACCGGGGCTTATTTCTTCCCTTCGGCTTCGAGGTAAAAGGCAGCTGCCTTAAGGGAGCCATCTATAGACCTACCCTCAGGGCGCATTCTCTTTCTCAGGGATGTTCCTTGCTCAGAAAAAGAATTCAGCGATATTTCTCCTATTTGCCTTTGAAAGAAGAGAAATATGGCTCTGTTCCATCCGGCTCATCGGTGGCCAGAAGTCTTATCTCTCTCGTTCCCTGAACATTGCTGTTATCCTGTTCTTTTTTCAAGAAGCCCAGATTTCATATTGTTCAAACACACATGCTCTACAAACAATTTGCGCAGTTAACGCAATCATCACAGGGTCCTGAGGCGACATATATCCTCCTCAGTTTACAAAGAAGATGACGGGATTAAGAGATTAAAGTAAAGACAGGCATAGGAAATCACAAGGATATTGATTGGGGAAGTGATAAGTGTCCATAAAATCTTCACAATATATGTACAGAGATTTCAGTAAAGACAGGCGTAAGAAATTATAAAAGTGTTAATTTGGGGAACTAATAAATGTCCATGAAATCTTCACAATTTATGTTCTTCTGCCATGGCTTCAGCCAGTCCCTCCGTTCAGGGTCCCTGACTCCCCGCAACAGAGAATGTTGATATTTTCATCAGGTGGACAATGCACTTGGGTCCAGACTGCAAGTTCTGACCATCCTCTATGTTTTGTGGTTCTCATGTCATTTCCATGTGTAAGGGTTTTGTAGTGCTCTTTGGGTCCGTGTCATATATGTGAAAAACAGTGGCCACCTTGGAACTTGGGTAATGGTATGTTTCATAGTTCAGTTCTCAAAGTCTGTGTATGCTGTTTAGGGTCAGATTCATGCATGGGCTCAGGGATAAACCCAGGAGTTACTAAAGAACTTTAACAAACGGCTTTTCCCAACTTTCCCAGGCTCCTCCCTTTCTGTGGCATTCCTATTACTTTCTTTCCCCTTTTTGGTGCTTCAGCTAGAAAACTGGAGCTTTCCTTGACTTGCTCTGCCGTGTACTTACTGCAGATGTCCCCATCTGGGGTCAAATGGTGAGGGCAAAGAGAGAACCTTGAACCACAGATCCTCCAACTGGAAAGGAAGTTTCCCTTCTCTTCGAGTTTTAGGTTCCTCCTGGCCTCCTTTGCCACCACTGCTCTCAACATGGGATCGGAACTTGAGCATGAAAGAATAGAGAAAACGGAGAGGGAAATGGTAGGGCATTGAGCATTAGGAGGCCCCTTTTCAGCTCCTTGAGCTAGAACCAGAGAGCTCCCCCTGGAGGTCTTTGTTGGCATTGATGCCCACCTCTGAGTTTCAAACTGTGGCAAGTAGAGGCCAGTGAATAGCAAAGGGGAAAAGTGATGATCTCACTTTTGACTTGGAAGTACTTCAAATTCTGGTCATCTTCCCCAGTACACCTGCTACTATTTACTTTTCCAAGTCCTCAAATAGCTGCCCAATGCATTCCATCCAGGCTTTGTAGCTGCGTTCAATGGGACAGACAAGATGGAGTGTGGTTACTCCATCTCACCAGGAACTGGAAACCCACTACACATCTTTGAGTGGGAGAATTAATGTGCTCAAAATTCAGATTTTAGAATAGACTGCGGCAGTATTTGAATAGGGTGAATTAGAAGGGCTGAGGTGGGAGCCCAACGAAACCTGTAATAAAAACTAAAAGGGCCAGGCGCGGTGACTCATGCCTGTAATCCCAGCACTTTGGGAGGCCAAGGCGGGCAGATCACAAGGTCAGGAGATCGAGACCGTCCTGGCTTAAACATGGTGAAACCCCGTCTCTACTAAAAATACAAAAAATTAGCCAGGTGAGGTGGCAGGCTCCTGTAGTCCTAGCTACTTGGGAGGCTGAGACAGGAGAATGGTGTGAACCCGATAGGCAGAGTTTGCAGTGAACCAAGATCATGCCACTGCACTCCAGCCTGGGCAACAGACAAAGACTCCGCCTCAAAAAAAAACCAGAAAACTAAAAGTAGGCCGGGCGTGGTGGCTCACGCCTGTAATCCCAGCACTTTTGGGAGGCTGAGGTGGGCAGATCACAAGGTCAGGAGTTCGAGACCAGCCTGGCCAATGGGGGTGAAATCTATCTCTACTAAAAATACAAAAATTAGCTGGGCATGGTGGCCGGCACCTGTAGTCCTAGCTACTCGGGAGGCTGAAGCAGGAGAATCTCTTGAACCCAGGACGCAGAGGTTGCAGTGAGCCAAGATTGCACCACTACTCTCCATCCTGGGCAACAGAGCGACACTGACACTGTCGCAAACAAACAACAACAACAACAAAAAAAAATCCTAAACAAAAGTAATAAGAACTCAAACTAGTGGGACAAAAGTAGCAATGCAAAAATGGGGGATAGTGAGAACCAATGCAAGATATGTTATCTCACACCCACTATCCTATGGAATAACATTAATTCAGCATCACTGTCCAAATGTTACAGCCAGAAAGAAGACCCACATGGGGCATTGCTAATCCTTAAGGTCAGAGCTGGGACTGACTTTATTTATTTTGAGAAAGTCTCACTCTGTCGCCCAGGCTAACGTACAGTGGCACAGTCTTAGCTCACTGCAACCTCCGCCTCCCAGGTTCAAGTGATTCTCCTGCCTCAGCCTCCCGAGTAGCTGGGATTACAGGCATTCGCCACCACACCCAGCTAATTTTTTGTATTTTTGGTGGAGACAGGGTTTTGCCATGTTGGCCAGGCTGGTCTCGAACTTCTGACCTCAAGTGATCAGCCTGCCTTAGTCTCCCAAAGTGCTGGGATTATAGGCATGAGCCACCATGCCTGGCCCAGAGCTGGAACTGACTTTAGAGATCACATTATTCAACACCCAATTTTTTTTAGCAGTTTCATTGGTATGTAATTTATATACCATACAGTTCACCTGTTTAAAGTATGTAGTTCAGGCCGGGCACAGTTGCTCACACCTGTAATACCAGCGCTTTGGGAGGCTGAGGTGGGCAGATCGCTTGAGGCAAGGAGTTCAAGACCAGCCTGGCCAACATGGTGAAACCCTGTCTCTACTAAAAATACAAAAATTAGCTGGGCGTGGTGGCAGGTGCCTGTAATCCCAGCTACTCAGGAGGCTAAAACAGGAGAATCGCTTGAACCTGAGAGATGGAGGTTGCAGTGAGCTGAGATTGGGCCACTGTACTCCCGCCTGGGTGATAGAGTGAGACTCCATCTCAAAAATAAATAAGTAAAGTGTACAGTTCAATCTTTTTGATATATTTACATAGTTGTGCAACTATCACCGTAATGCAATTTTAGAACATGTTCATCCCTCCAGAATGAAACTTTATACCCATTAACAGCCGCTCTCATCCCCCACCCCAACTCCCTACTCCACCCAGCCTAGGAAACCATTAATATGTTTTCTTTCTCTACAGATTTTACCTATTCTGGACATTTAAAAATAAATTGAATCATACAATGTTACCTTTTGTGGATGGCTTTTTTCACTTATGTAATGTTTGGGAGGTTCATCCGTGTAGCAAATATCAGCACCTCATTCCTTTTCATTGCTGAATAATATCCCATTGTACGGATAATGCCACAGTTTGTTCATTCATTCATCAGTTGACGGATATTTGGGGTTGTTCTCACTTTTGGGCTATTACGAATAATGCTGCTGTGAACATTTGTGTACAGGGCTTTGTTTGGACATGCTTTCACTTCTCTTGAGTACATATCTAGGAGTGGAATTGCTGTGTCATATGGTAAATCTGTATTCAATTTTGAGAAACCACCAAACTGTCTTCCACAACAGCTGTACCATTTTACGTTCCCACCAGCAATGTTTGAGGGTTCTCAACACTCTCATTGCGCCCGGAGAAGTCGATTAACTTCCCAGGCTCACACAGTGGATTGGTAGGACTAAAACCCATGCCTCTTGACTCATAAACCTATGTGGCAGTTAGTGACAGAAATAAGAATAAAAACTGCAGTCGACTGAAAGAAAGCCTTTGCTAATTGAAAGATTTCTACCAGTTCAGGAAAAAGAAAACAGTTTTTTATACTTATGGAAGTCTTGTCTTAAGATATCACTGTTTCTTTACTTTAGTCAATTTTCAAAATTGTATTTCGTAAGTGATTGCAATCACTGTTCTTTGCTCAGATTGTCCCCAAAGTCTATAGCTGTTCTGGCCTCTCAGCCTAGACCACTGTGAGTCTTAGAACTCTGGATTAGGAGAGCTCATCATCAGTCCAGCTCCCTCATTTTGCAGATGAGAAACTGCTGAGCTGTGGTCTTGAGGATCTCAGCGAACTCTGGTACCCTCTTGGGACACACAGGGGGCTCTAGCACCCTTCCCTAAAGTGTTCTCTGTTTTTCTGCCACTCCCTCCAGGTGCAATATCAGCTACTTAGAAGAATGGCTTAAAGATAAGAATTTACAGAACAGCTTAGCAAAGGAAACTTTGGAGCCCCTCTCTCAGGCAGCCTGGTTGCTTCAGGTCAAGAAGACCACAGACAGTGATGCTAAGGAGATCTACGAACGCTGCACCTCACTGTCTGCTGTACAGGTGACCGGGCTTGCCTGGTGTCTCCCTGGCTCTTCCCTGACACATCAGCGCAGTGGGCATTGCCTTTCTTGGCTTAGCCCGCTGTGGGCACCCTGATTCTGTGTGTTCTCTTGGGATCATACCTACCACCCATGGCCCACCCTTTTATCTAATAAATATTTATTAAATACGAACAATAGGTCTTAAAAACATAGAAATGGGCTGGGCGAGGTGGCTCACAGCTGTAATCCAGCACTTTGAGAGGCCAAGGTGGGAGGATTGCTTGAGCCCAGGAGTTTGAGACCAGTCTGGGCAACATAGCAAGACACTCTACCAAAAAAAAAACCAAAAAAAACAAAAAAACGCTGGGGGTGATGGCACACACCTTTGGTCCCAGGTACTTGGGAGGCTGAGGCAGGAGGATCATGTGAGTCCAGGGGTTCGAGGCTGCAGTGAGCCAAGATCATGCCACTGCACCCCAGCGTGGTCAATAAAGGGAGACCCTATGTCAAAAATAATAATAATAATAATCACACACACATACATACAAATGTCTGCAATGCATTTGCTGCCCATTAAACTCACAAATGTGTATGTGGAGGGGTGGGCATGTGGGAGGTGGGGAGGCTGGAAGGGGCTTCTCTTATTGTTGTCTGATTATCTGATTTGCCTTTGCTCCCTGTGGCACTTTTCTCCCCTTGTTTTTTTTCTTGGAAATAGGTAACATACAGTTCCTGAGCCAAATTATAGACTAAAAGAACCACCTGTGCTTCCCAATGGTTCCCAATAACCAGAACCATTATTTTATGAACAGAGTTATTATTTTGCATGGTCTAACACCATGTTATGTTATGTACTGTTTGCAGATCATAAAGATCCTTAATTCATACACGCCTATAGATGACTTTGAGAAGAGAGTGACTCCATCCTTTGTTCGCAAAGTACAGGTGAGATTCTTAAGGATGTGCCTTTTAATTTTATCTAACTATGGTATAAGATGTTGATATTTAATTAACATTACAGAAATCCAGGATTAAAGTACATTTACCCACATATACAAATGGAAGGCACCTAGCTCAAAGATAAGCAGGAAATTTTCCTGTGAAATTTTCAGAATCCACCTTAGTCCAGGTGGGAAGGGAACGAAAACACCAAAACCATGATTCCCATGCTGTATTCCGTCAATATATCTTATTTCTTACTGATCTTTGAATACCGTGCAAGTGGGCAGAGGCTGAATGGAAACCGAGATGATTTTTCTTTTATAATCATTTGTATAACCATTTTTTCTTATATAATCCGTAAAGTTTCTCCCCTAAGGAACTCTAGGGCAGCAGTTCTCCAAGTTTGGCTCAAGGATCCCTGGGAGTCCTTGAGACACTTTGAAGAGAGTCTGCAAACTCTTCCTTTTTCTGAATACATACCTGTGAATTTTCTAAATAGGTATCTGTGGATTTTCTAAATAGATACCTGTGGATTTTCTTCGTGTATTTCAACCAAAATAACGTATCACAACAGATTGAATGCAGAAGCAGATATATATGATATGTTATATATATGATAATATGGCATATATATGATATATTAAGTCAGACATTAAAGGGATTTGCAAAAATAGAAAATACCACTTCTCACTAAATTTTCTTTGTTTTGGAAACTTATGTTTAACATGTATTGAGCTTATTTTAATGAATTAATAAATCATTTTAATTACTAATATGGCAAATACTGATAGTTATACCCATATACACAAAAGCTTTTGGGGCCTCAGTAATGTTTTAGTATAAAGCAGTCCTGAGACCAAAAAGGTTGCAAACCCATGAATGAAGAAGAAATATGGGTTCAATAAAAATGTAATACTTGAAATGTACTCATATTTGACCTTAGAATTATGCCATGAGAATAGATTAGAATAGAAAACAGATTTATGGTCAGCTCATCCCATGGGAAATTAACTTCTAAAGTGAAACAGGCAAGTTAATTGTTCATGAGAGCTGATCTGGAAGCCCTGGATAGACTTTGGAATTGTGCTGTTGTTAAAAAGCTCTCATGTGTGTCATTTCACGTGATGGTGCAAGGAGTTCTCCACTAGAGATAGTTGTGTTTTGCCTTGACTTTCAGGTAGCAGTAAAGCAGAACATGTTAGGTTCCTTACTCATTTTTCCTCTGATTCTGATTCCAGGCTCTCCTAAATAGCCGCGAGGATTCATCACAGCTGATGTTGGATACCAAATATCTGTTTCAAGTCACATTTCCTTTTACCCCCTCTCCACATGCTCTGGAAATGATTCAGATCCCCAGCAGTTTCAAGCTAGGCTTTCTGAATAGGTTATAGCAAGAGAAAAAGTCAAGGCACTTTTTCCTCAAAAGCTAAGTGAAGGTTCAATATGAGGGATGTGGTTTATTAATTGGCAGTGGAAATTGGAATGTGATTTAAGGAAGAAAATAGACTTTTCTCAAATGGACCACATCATCTCTCACCCACAGTGACAGTGCTGCTGCTGCTGCAATTTTTTGTAAGAATTCACACACACCAGCTGTCGTTGGAAAAGCCATGTCTCCCTCTCAAATCTCAGCTGGTTTTGACTGAAATTCCTGGAGGGCTCATATTTTCTTCCACATGCCTCTTGATCTGTTCTGTCTGTGGCAGGGCTCTACCAGGAGAGAGTGAGATCTGGGGACACAGTGGCTTCCAAGTTTTCTAAGGTTCATGTGAAGCCTGAGTACATTTACAAAGCTGCAAGTGGATTCCAGGGCTCAGTCTTCCAGGAAATAATCCCATTTGGCCACCATGGCCTGCCAAAAACTCTCTTGCCCCATGCCTGCTGGAGATGGAAGGTTTTCATGAACTTGTTTTACTGAAAATGCCCTGCATTTAGAAATGTTTATTTTAGAAAAATTAGCCAGGCGTGATGGCGGGCGCCTGTAGTCCCAGGTACTCAGGAGGCTGAGTTGGGAGAACAGCGTGAACCCGGGAGGCAGAGATTGCAGTGAGCCGAGATCACACCACTGCACTCTAGCCTGGGCAACAGAGCCAGACTCCGTCTCAAAAAAAAAAAAAAAAAAGTTTATTTTAGACCCTTCTAAATTTTTTTTTTTTTTTTTTTTTTTTTTGAGACTCCGGAGTCTAGCTCTATTGCCAGGCTGGAGTGCAGTGGTATGATCTCGGCTTACTGCAACCTCCGCCTCCCAGGTTCAAGTGATTCTCCTGCCTCAGCCTCCTGAGTAGCTGGGACTACAGGTACACGCCACCACGCCCATCTAATTTTTATATTTTTAGTGGAGACGGGTTTCACCATGTTGGCCAAGATGGTCTCGATCTCTTGACCTTGTGATCCGCCCACCTCAGCCTCCCAAAGTGCTGGGATTACAGGCGTGAGCCACCTCACCCAGCTGACCCTTTTAATTTTTAAGAGAGTGTTCAATCTGAGATGAATCATATGAAGTATTTTTATGTGTATATCTATTTTAAACTAATATATTATTAAAGCGTAATTGCCATGCCATTTATCTTCTCTGAAAGAACTTTTCTTCACATCTTACCTGCCAACATATTCACCATAATTTTTTTTATTTTTTAATACCTTTCATACAATAACTTAAAAAAAAAACTCAGTTTAAAAAGGCAACCTAAATTATTTTCTCTCTCTAATCAGCATTTCAATGTATTTATTTTTAAATTTTCTCCAAAAGTAACTAAAAAATTATGTCGGACCCTCCTTTTGAGAAATCTATGTTTCCCAAGTTTTATGGGAACTGGCTATTTCTTGTCCCGGCACACCTTCTCATTCCTTCCTTTCAGAGCCTAAAACTTCATTTGATAAGCACTTCTAGTCTCTGGCCTGTGGATCCAGTGCTGTTGTGTTACCAACCCAAGAATCCCAACTGCACCTTCTGCGCCTAACAGTCACAGGTGATAGCTGTGATTCTATAATACAGACTGGTGTCTTAGAGGTAGCAATAATACAGGATTATGAAGCAATATCACCCTACTAATATGTAATAATATCTTTTCATATTATAAGTGATTGAGTTTAGTTCATTTCAATACATTGTACATGAAAAAATGAAAAGTAGAACTTTGTAATACTTTAATCAATAAAATTAATTACCAAATGAATTGGGTCAGATTCTTTCATTGCAAGGAGATGACATGTCTCTTAAGTGCACAAGTTTTATGCCTTTCTTTAGGGTCACACTGAAAGACGCTAGAATCTTTACAGATCCATAATATCTCATTTAAAGTATATTAAAATGTGTAGAAAGGAAGTAAACATGTCACAGTGCTGGCTCAGGCTGTGTCTCCAGGGTGCTTCCACACTGTGTCAGAATGAGGGGCTACTTGGCAGAGAATTGGCTGGATTTCTGATCCTGAGCTGTGACCTCCATGCCCTTTCTAGACCTTCCCCACACCATGAGGAGCCATCACGGTTGATTTTCGGCTTCCATAACTCAGGATTTATGCCTCTTTTACAGCACTTATCCTGGGCTGGAAGCCAGAAATGCTGCCCACTTCCTCTGTAGGCCTGTGAGCCCCAGAGGATAGGTACCACATCCTCTGCATCCCTGCCTTCATCCTACTGCTGATGAGGTGGGAGAGAACTGACAGAGCCAAGTCCTGTTGGAGGACTGTGTGTGTGTGGCGGGGAGTCAACCATGGGACAAAGTAGGTCATGTTTGGGGACAGAGAGACCTGTAGAGGCTGAGGAGTTTATGTGTGGAAACATGGGGAGAGGGAGGCACTCACCCCACAGTCTTGATCAGTTCTACAAAGCTGACAGTGGCAAGGAGACCAAAATAGAGAAATGTTAAGAACATGCAGCCCAGGTGAATGTGAGGCCTGCTCAGTGAGTGGGCACAGACACAGAGGTCAAACCTGCCAAGGTCTCCCTCCACAGTGGGGCTGGGCAGAAGGTTCCAGGGGTGAGTGAGGGATGCAGATGGCAGCGCGTGCCCAGCAGGGAGCATGGAAGTGCAGTGGAGGAAGAAAGCAAGCTGAGAAGCACTCTGAGAAGATAAGGAGATTAACCGGTGGGAGAGGTGCTTCACACCTCAAGCTGTGCGCCAGTCCTCACCTCTCACCGTCCGCTCTGTGGCTCCCAGTGCTGACTCTGGAAGGTACGTGCATGCTGACATTCAGTTAAAATACTCCAGCTTTTGAAGTGCTCAGAAAAGCATCCAGATGAGTACAGGCCACAGTGTTAGCAGGTCTTTGTGGTGGGAGCATGGGTGAGGGGTTTTGTTGCTGTTAATCTGTAAAATCTAATTTTTCTACAATACACATGAATTTATTTTGAAATAGTAAAGTGATTTTTACATTAATAGTGGCATCAGGAAAGAGATTAAGCGTACTTAAAATCACTAAGTCAGTTTTAAAATTTGATCCAGGTGACACATGACAACATAAGCCTCTGAGTACAGCTTACGGGGTTAGAAAAAGGTTTTTGACAGTGAACATTTTGTAGTTGTAAGTCTGAGATACATCCACATTGTTGTGTGTGTCAATTTGTTCTTTTTTACTCTATGCTCATTTCACAGTTTAGTCTACAACTGGTGAACATTTGGGTCTTTCAAGTTTAGGCCTATGAATAAAGCTGCTAGGACATTTGTGTGTGTGTGTGTGTGTGTGTGTGTGTTTTTAAGGAAATAAGCATTATTTTCTGTGACATATGTATGCGGGAGTAGAATTGCTTGGTCATAGAATATATCCGTTTCACTTTATTAGCTCCTACCAACCAGTTTTCTACAGTGGTTATACCGACTTACACTCCCACCAGCAGAGAAAGGCAGTTCCAGTTTCTGTATCTTTGCCCACACTTTTGTGTTGTCAGGCTTTTTAAGTTTCCTGATGGGTAAGTAGTTGTATCACACTGTAGTTTTACTTTGTATTTCTTTGATGACTAATGATAATGAGCACTTTTTTTATGTTTATTGACCATATAAGTATCCTCATTTGTGAAGTGACTACACAAGCCTTTTGTCCATTTTAAAAATAGTCTATTGAGATATGATGTCCACATGTTTTGTTTCATGTTTTAAAACCCATCATTTTAAAACATATATTTCAGTGTTTTCTTAGTTTATTTACAAGAATTTGCAACCATTGTCACTAACTCCAGAGTATTTTCATCACCCTAAAGAAGAAATCTCATACCCCTTAAGCAGCCACTCCCAACTCCCTCCTTCCCCCTTATTCTCTCTTCCCTCCACCTCCCAACTACTCGTCTGCTTCCTGCCTCTCTGAATTTGCTGATCCTGTACACTTCACATAAATGAAATCATACAACATGTGGCCTTTTGTGTCTGGCTTCTTTCATAGGATAGCGTTTTTAAGGTTGGACCATGTTGTACCATGTGTCAGAACGTCATTCTTTTTTGTTGCTGAATAGCAGTCTGCTGGAGGGATAGACATTTTGTTTATTCGTTTGTCAGTTAGTGGACGCTTGAGTTGCTTTCACTTTGGGCTAATAATGCTGCCATGAACATTTGTAGGTGCATTTTTTTTCTTTTTTCCTTTTTTTTTTTTTTTTTTTCCCCTGAGACAGAGTCTCCCCGCGTTGCCCAGGCTGGAGTGCAGTGGTGTGATCTCGGCTCACTGCAACCTCCATCCCCTGAGTTCAAGCGATTCTCATGTCTCAGCCTCCCAAGTAGCTGGGATTACAGGTGCCTGCCACCACGCCTGGCTAATTTTTGTATAGTAGAGATGGGGTTTCACCATGTTGCCCAGGCTGGTCTTGAACTCCTGACCTCAACTGATCTACCCGCCTGGGCCTTCCCAAGTACTGGGATTACAGGCGTGAGCCACCACACCTGGCCAGTGAACATACATTTTCAATTATCCTGGGTATATATCTAGAAGTAGGATTGTGGGGTCATACGATAACAGCTGTATATTTAATGTTTTGAATAACTACCAAACTGTTTTCCACAGCTGCACCATTGGAAAATGGATATCCCACTTTACCTTTCCACCAGCAATGTATGAAAGTCCTTTTGTCCATTTTTAATTGAGTTAATGAAGCAGTATTTTAAAAGTAAAAAGTGGATATACCTTATGTATCCAAACACAGGAAGTTGGTTTAATAAATTATGACACTCCATAGGACAGAATAATGCTGAACCTATTACCAAAAAAGGTAGATCTATAAGTGTTAACAGAATATGTTAGACAAAGAAAGCAAGTAGCCCTATTTGCATGACTACCAAAGCTGTATCTATGTGTTTGTGCCAGAAAAGTCTGGAAGAATAAACAACAAACCAAATAAGGGCAGTGAAAATGCAGAGCATGTGATGGGGGATTCAAGTTTTACTTTCTCATCTTTGGTATTGGTTCTTTTTAAAATAAACATGTATTTCTGTGGTAATTTTTAAGCCATATATTTAGGTAAAACATATCAAAGACAGTTTGTGCTTGGCATAAGGTTATTAGGGGAAGGTTTGAGAAGTTCTATGAACTACTGGAAAGCAACTTCATGTCAAAATTTGTTAAATGGGGCATTTTTGTCTTTCTTGTCAAAATGTTCATCGAAACATTGGCTCTAACTGTGAAAAATTCTCTCATCATAAAAAGGATTATTGACAATAAGTACAACAGAAAGTACTAAAATTAAATTTAGCTCATACTATAAATACTAAGTGAAAAACATCAAGATATGGACATGTCATCAGTATACATGAACAGTATGACCTCAGTGGTCTCAAATCTATTCTTGCATACACCAAAATGTAAAAAGAAGTTTCTCTGAGTCGTGGGATTATAGGTGATTATCTTCTTCCTTATACCTTTTTTCCCCCAAACTTTCTACAATCATATGTATAACATTTACAGTTCAAAAATGCTTTAAATTTAGTTTGTAGCTTGCCCATGTTTAACCAGTGAGGTCT